TGTAAGGAAAAATATCTCGTGAGGTATATTATATATGGTCTTGTATCAACCATCGCAGTGTACCATCAGCTGTATTTGAGCCTCTTACCGCTTAACAATTGTAAAGTTGAATAGAAACCATTGTTCCCTTCTGATCATATTGTTATATTAAAAACTCAAGTCTTTAATCAAAAAATACTGATTATTAGTGAAAAAAAAAAACTCAAAATTCAATGTTTTTTTTTCTTGGGAGATGGATGTAATATATAGATATACATGTGTGTTATTGAATCAATACTCAATAATGCTTCTGCAATTTAGTTTTTTTTTTTTTCATAATGTAGGGTGTCTTTTTTTTTTTTCATATTACATGGTGTTCACCGTCGATAATCGTAACTAATTTTTTTTTTCATATTACAAGGTGTACACCGTCGACAACAGATTCAAACCCTCAAATTATGATTAAGGGTAAAGAAATCTTTATCACTCTACCACAACCCTTTGGTTGATTTAGTCTCTATTTTTTGTTAATGGTTGCATGTGAGAGAGAATCAAAGCCCTAAACCAAGAGATATTCGGTCTTCCACTTGAAGAATCTTATAGCGGTAGGCTCCACCAGTGTATATGCTTCACTCACCACGGAATTTGAGAGGCCATCGGAAAAGTGATGGTTGGGACAACGACGCCACTCGACTCAGATACTCGAGTCTCTGGACACCACCACCTCGTATTGTATAATTGTATATCATGTCTAGCCATTTTTAGCACCATCTACTGTACTGCTTTTGGAGAAAGCGCACACTGCGGTATTCACTCAAACGATAGAGAAAGTCTTAATGATCGAGAATATTGTTTTAGTTCGATTAAACAATACTCCATCCGTCCTAAAATTATTATTCAGTTTGAATTTTTACTTTTAGTTCAAATTATACTAAAAGTGAAATATCAAACTGGACAATAATTTTGGGACAGAGGGAGTACTTTTCTATTGATATTTTAGACAGGAAGCGTACTAATTATTGATTTAATTCACTACTATGACATCTTGTTAACAGGGGAAATTAAAAAGGTCTTTTATAGGGAAAGAATTATCCATCATGATTCCCTAACAATACGTTAATTCTACAAATGTAAGCAAACATAAAGTTTTTATTAGCTTGTAGTAGTACTCATATCTCGAAGACCCCACTTTTGTAATGCATATAGGTACTCAATATAGATGATCGTTACTTTTGAAAACCCATAATTCATAAAGGCAAATGCATGAGCAGAATCAATATACATCAATCTGAAAAGGACTGAAACCAAAAGAATCTGTCTGAAGAAGGGGGAAGAGTGTCAAGAGAAGATTGGCCGGAGGGATTAAATGTATATATGTGCTACGTGTTAATAAGACTTTTTAAAAAGAGTGATTGAGTCAACTCATTTTTTTTTTCTCATAAAGAGAAGGGATCTTTGATTCTTTGATGGATCTTCCAATAGGATGGGAAAGATCCAACCAAAGTGAATGAATGAAACCGGTAAAAGGGGGGTTTTTAGAGGAAAAGAACAATGTCTGGTGCAATGTGGGTAACCTGAAAAGTTGAATGGACAAAATTTTTTTAAAAAGAGAGGTGAAAACAAAGCAGCAAGTCAAGTCCAACACTTTTTTGCCAACTTTTCATTGAGATTATTTTTACACTTTGTAAGAGACCTCTGCTACAGTAAGTTGGGGTCGAATAGACCACGCATACAAACGTTCTGCTTTGTTTGTAAACTTGTAAATTATTGTGTGTGTGTGTGTGTATTATTTCCTCCAGGGGTTAAACTTAATTTAAAATATAAAAAGTTGGGTTAAAAATGTTTAAACATATCCAATTAAGATTTTGAATAGATAAAGGAAGAAAGGCATGATAAGAGGTAAAATGAGCAATGAAATAGAAAATGGAAATTTATAGCAAATTAAAATAAAAACTAATAAAAGAATACTCCTTCTGTTCGAAAATATAAATTGTTGGAGAGATTTCATTAAGTAGGCATTAAATATCTTGTTAAAATATTGAATTACCTTCATTTACTTTCAATATAATTCCATACCAATAATAATTAGTTCTAATACAATTTTACTTTCAACACAATTATAATTTCTCATATACAAGAATAATATCAAAAAAAATTGACAAAGCATGCATCGTTTTGTGAAAACGATATATATTTTAAAAAATTTAATTTTTTCTCCAACGATATATATTTTGGAATGGAGAAAGTACAATATATATTAACAATTAAAACGACGCCCTTAATAAGGAACGATTATATATGTGAGTGTTCTATATCCATTTTTTTTTTATTTCATGTATCATTTTATGAGGTAAAACAAACAGCTTGTGTTTTCTTCATTCCAGGTTGCTGGCTTGAAATGTTTGGAATATTAGTACATTATTCAAGTATTTTGATGGCCACTTTAATTTTATCATGGGGCAAATCACTTTTGACTATTAATTTTTTACCTCCGATCCATTTTACACGTTCTCATATAGAGGGGAAAAAAAAGAGGTTTATAGCATTATCACAGCTGATGATAATCAAATCTGCAATTTCTATGAGAAGTATGACATATATGGGCTCAATGTCAATGATCACTCCAACTTTAGTGATTGAAAAGTGCTCTCTATGGTGTATAATTCTGTTGATGCCGAAATAAAATGCCTATATACAATGGATGGCATCCTTAATAACAACTTAAATGTCATAGATTTGAGTATAATAGCTTTCTTTTTTTAATGTTGACACTTCTTGTTTAACCAATTACCCAAAATACAAATTAATGATGAATGGCATGTGTGTGGAGGTGGGTGGTTTGCAGTTGGAGGCCTCATTCTTCCCCCAAGGCTGTCACATTCAACCTTTTTCCAATTGGGGAAGTGACCTTAATTTATCAACAAGATCCTTTGAAATGAATAATTCAGACTATAGTTTTGGTAGATGGCGGAAGTGAATTTCAATTGTTGAGTCATTTCTTCATATATCTCTGTTGTGGTTTTAAGGAACAACCCATGGAAGAGGCAGCCGTCATAGTAACTTAACACAAACACTATGAAGAGACAAGCACTAATTAAAGCACGATACAAATTGGGTTGACCCGAAAAGAGGATTAATGATATTCCTAGATTAGCAAAACATTGTTAATTATTTAATCTCGACCGCTTTTTATCGACAACAAGGAGGAATATCTGAAGCTTTTTAATTACCTAACATTTCATCATGTCCAGAAGCTGCGCTGATCACCATTAACGGCCCTTATTCGACGTACAAAGCATACTTAATAAAACCACATGTTGAAATATAATTAAAAAGAGAATAATGCTAGTACAAAATTGGCCATAAACCACTCTTTAAAGCAGGTGACAAGATTTAAGAAAAGTCGAGGCTAAAGATCACAAAAAATTTAGATTACGTGGAGGCAAAGGTAAGTTTTTAAGATAATTTAATTGTATATATGCATACTGATAAAAATATAAATCTCTATTTAATCAGAAATTCAATTGATGCCTCTATTTAAATCTCCCTCTTGGGTCTTGTCATCTTCTAATTGTGTATGCCTCTTGGATTTTTTTTTTTTTTTTCTCACCAATATATGTTTCTTCTGGTCTAAAGATAAAATATAAACATCGAACGCATTGCAACTATATATATATATATATATTTTTTGTAATGGCTACTGTTCTTGTTGTTTTCTGAAAATAACTGAATTCTAAAAAGTCTATATAATCTTTAATTATGATAACAACTTTTACATATCAATCAATCAACCTTTTTATTTGATAGAAAGTTAAATCATTCCACACCTAGCAAAAGACACAGCTTGTGAGATTAACCAACGAAATGAACTTTCAACCTTTTGCCTAAAACCACCATTACTTTAACTCCACCGACAATTAATACAGCTTCCGCATATAAAGAAGATCAAATGATTCCCAATCTCGGTCCCTAAAGATTGGACCATCCATGTATAATACCCAAAAGCAAAAAAAAAAAAAAAAAAACCTCTAGAAATTTGAGATATTTCTTCATGAATACTTAGTTAGATCTTAAACTCTAGGCGGTTTCATTAATCTTACCGGGAAAAAAAATAGTAGTTTTTCCGGGCCAGTTCTTCCATCACCGTGAACTCTAGTTAGATTAATTAAAATTAGTAAACCCTATTCATATAATGGTCTACTATGTGATTGTGATTGTAATTAAAATTAAGTACTCTCATCGAATTCTAGAAGAAAAAAAAAAGGAAAAGGAAAGCGAAATTAGTGAGCGTTGATGGGAATCGCCCAACATTTGGAAGGGATGATCTCCATCATGCACTGAATCAATTAATGTCATAGTTCATGCATGCATCCATCTAGCTAGGTTTCTCTCTTCGTGTAAGAGTTATATAGCTCTTGTTGGATGAATGTATCAATATTCAAGAAGTAAATATCACTTCTATTACGTTTTCTAATTCAATTTAACTGCATCAAATGTTACCGTGAGTATGCTTTGATTTCCGCTTCATTTTGAATGTCACAGACGATTTTCACCAAATATATCTAAAAGTTGTCACATAATCCTAACACTTTTACCAATTGAAATAAGATCCTTCTTCATTGAAATCATGAGGGCGTAGCTTCCATGGCAAAATTCTCAAACTTACATTAAATTTTAAGGTTTTTTTGTTAGAAGGAAAAAAAGGAAAAAAAAAAAAAACATTACAAGGCAACTCTCGTTTGTTGTTTCCTTGGTTCCGCCACTGATCCTTTTCAAATAAATGAAAAAAAAAAAGAAAAGAAATTAATATTCGTCAGGAGAAAGAATTTCGTACAAGACACTTATTTCATACTCTCTCTCAAGTCTTTATTATAAATTATTTTAGTTCGTATTTTTTTATCAATAAAAAAATTTTAAAAGTATTTTGTAATAAAACATAATGAATGTAAAAATCATATTTTAAAATTTTTTTTTCAATTAATAATACATATTAGATGAAACTTATAAAAAATCAAAATATCTTATATTAAGCGGTAGATAGAATAATATATTCGAATTTAATGGGCTGAAACAGGGGAGGGAATGAAAAACATTAGAATTTTATACACGTGTCAGAAACCCAAAGCGGGGGAGGCCCCACCGTGAAGGGAGGAAGGCACAGACGGGAGCCCACCACCATCACCACCAGTCAAGCAGCAGTAGTATCTCCACCTTCCCCCACAAGCAGGGGCCGCATACAACATCATTCCATTTCTCTTCGTCTCCTTCTTCATCTTCACCAAAACTCCCCTCAACTAAAATAGTATCAAACTATCGATAAATAAAAAAAGCTTCCGCCCCCTGAATTCATGATGATCATACTTTGATTACCCCCATTACTACTTTCTAACTGCGTATATATATCTATATATATATATAGCTCTACTAATACGGCTGGTAAAAGCGATTCATTCACTAACTACTACTATAATCCAACAAACCATAACTTTCACTTAATATACTATATAAAAATTCCATTCCGTACTATTTCTTATTAATATATTGGCAAGATTTCTTTTCTTTCCTTTCTTTTTTAGTTTTTTTCCTTCCAATTTGCGCGTAAGATTTTCATTACTTTTTTTTTTTAATTTGGTTTTTTTTTGAGGGTGGTTTAATTAATCTTTCTTTTGATTGTGGCTATGCCGACGCCGGTAGCCACGGCCAGGCAATGCTTAACAAGGGAGGCAGAGCTGGCTCTAGACGAAGCAGTGGCCGTCGCCCGCCGCCGCGGCCATGCCCAAACCACTTCACTTCACTTGGTTTCATCTCTGCTTTCCCTTCCTTCTTCTTCAATCCTACGTGAAGCTTGTTCCCGTACCCGTAACAATGCCTACTCCACCCGTATCCAATTCAAAGCTCTGGACCTCTGTTTAGGTGTTTCCTTAGACCGCCTCCCTTCTTCCAACTCCCGGGTCGACGACCCGCCGGTCTCCAACTCCCTCATGGCCGCCATTAAGCGATCTCAGGCTAACCAGAGAAGGCAGCCTGAGAATCTTCATTTCTATCACCATCAACAACAATATCAGCAGAATCAGCAGAATCAGATGGTTCTGAATGCGTCTCCTTCCTCTTCGTCGTCATCGTCGATTTCTGTCGTGAAAGTTGAGCTGCAGAATCTGATTTTGTCCATCCTGGATGACCCGGTTGTGAGCAGAGTATTTGGGGAATCCGGGTTCAGGAGTTGTGAAATTAAGCTTGCTATACTCAGGCCGGTCCATCAGCTTTTCAGGTACTCATCAAGGTATAAAGGGCCACCCGTGTTTTTGTGTAATTTGAGTGGTGGTGATAATATTATTAATGATCCACGCCCAAGGGGGTTCAGCTTCTCTTACACGGGGTTTTCAGGGGTTTTAGATGGGGAGGAAAATTACCGGAGAATCGGGGAAATTATGGCCAGGAAAGATGGAAAAAGGAATCCTTTACTTGTGGGTGTTTCTGGTTACGAAACTCTGATGAGCTTCTTGGATATGGTCCAGAGGAGAAGAGGAAGGACGATTTTGCCTCTGGAGGTTTCCGGATTAGGGGTGGTTTCTGTAGAGCACGAGGTGCTCAAGTTCATTAGTGGGAATTATGAGGAAGAATCGCTGAAACTGCGATTTGAGGAGATTGAAAAAATGGTTGAAAATTGTATTGGACCTGGTGTTGTGGTTAATGTGGGTGACATAAAGTCGATCTCCGGCTATGATGATGAAGCCTCATCATCAGTTGATGCTCTGAGGTTTGTAGTTGGGGAGCTGACAAAATTGTTGGAGATTCATGCAGGGAAAGTCTGGTTGATTGGTGCAGCAGCAAGATACGAGACGTATTTGAAGTTCTTAAATACGTTTCCCTCTGTTGAAAAAGACATGGATTTGCAGCTTTTGCCTATCACCACTGCTATGAGATTTTCTGTGGGAGAGTCATACCCGAGATCCAGGTAAACCACTACTACTGAGTATTGATGTTCTTTGCTTTTTTATTTTTATTCGGAAAAAAGTTTTTAGACTTAAATTAGTATTAAATTCTGCAAAACTTTACTTGAATTAATTATGTTTGCTGCCACTGGAAGTAGTACTACATGATAAGTATTTATTATTTTGTTTCTTTCCCTTTCATTGAACACAAATAGCTCCTACCGATAACTAGAGCTCAAACAAATTCGTCAAAAACTTCCTAGCTAGTACAGAAAGTAAACGAAAAAAATAAAAGAACTAAAAAGGACCCTATAAGCTTTTGCCTTTGTTTGTTGGTCGTTTTTTTTGTGATTTTGAGTGCTGTCTTATTAATGTTCTTACATAGTTTTTACATGCTCCTGATGTACTTACAGCTTGATGGAGTCTTTTGTTCCGTTTGGTGGTTTCTTTTCCAGTCCTCCTGAGCCAAAAAGCTCATTCATGACTGGCTTTGACCAAAGTGTGTGTCAGCTCTGCACTGATCAGAAGTGCGAAGAAGTTGATGTTCAAGCAAATGGAGGGATCATGGCCAATGATCGTCATCAATCTTCTTGGCTCAACTCCAGCCCCCTCACGGCATACAATAGCTTGGACATTATGAAGGTAAGTATCTTCATTTTGCATTTAGTACAAATTGAACTGGAATTTTCGAGGAACTGAAAACTCTGCTTTTTATCTTTTTCCCTTTATGGCATTCTCGATATAATATGTTGGGTTTCTTTTTTGGGTTGTAAACTTGTTAAAACTCGATATCTTCAGTGCAGGCTCAAGATGACAGCGCGTTTTCGTGTACTAAAGTTGCAGGATGCCGACATTTTCCCTGGAGCCAAACATCACCAAAGGACGCTGAAAGCAGCCAATTAGGATCTCAAATTACATCCGTAGTTGGGTTTCAGGTTCCTGAAGCTGGAAAATCAAACCCCAAAAATGACTCCATGAGCCCTGGTAGCACATCTTCAACACCAAACGACAGCAGGGAGACAAATTCTTCCATGTCAAGAGACTCCCAGCAATTTTCAGCTCCAAAAGTAAGCAGTCCAACAAGTTTACTTTCAAAACGCAGCAATGTGGACCTTTGCGAAAACTCACCAAAAGTGTCAAGGGACCAAAGCCATCGTTCTCCTATCAGTTTGACCAAATCTAGGGTCCGGGATGGCTTCGCTTCGCCGGCCTCTGCAGATTCACAGACTTTTGATCTGAATTTAGGGATCAACGGCCCTTCCGCGAGCAGACAACATTTCAAGCCTAGTACAAGTGATGGTTGCTTACGTCTAGTTCAGAAGTTCTCGTCCTGCTTGTATTCTGATCCTGACGATATCAGCAGAAATATCTCAGTCAATCCAAGTAAAAGCTCAACTTATTCCCATAATATCAAGGGTCAAGTTGATGTACAAGATTTCAAGAGCCTTTACAAAGCTCTAGTGGAAAGAGTAGGCAGGCAAGAGGAAGCGGTTGAAGTTATTAGCCAAACAATAACTCATTGCAGGATGACAAATGAAAGGCGCCATGGTGTAAACCGTGGAGATATATGGTTTAATTTTATTGGACCTGATCGTTTGGCCAAGAAGGAGATTGCCTTAGCACTTGCTGAATTCCACGGGAGCAGAGGAAATCTAATCCATTTGGATCTCGCTTCCCAAATCCCTTCGAATTCTGATGATGTTCAGGGGAGTAGGAATTCTCATCATTCTGTCTACCGCGGAAAGAGCCACGTCGATTACATTGCCGAGAAGCTGTGCAAGAGACCTTTTTCTGTTCTTCTTCTTGAAAATGTTGACAGAGCTGATTGTCTGGTTCAAAGTAGCTTGTCCAAAGCTGTGAAGACAGGAAGGTTCTCAGACTCGCATGGAAGAGAGTTTGGAATTGGTAATGCTATATTTTTGACAACTTCAGGTCTCAAAAGTGGTGAAGCGATTATGCCTGTAGGAGCAGAGGACTATTCTGAGGAAGATGTTTCAAGTGTGAAGGGCTCACCAATCCAAATGATGATAGGATTTGATCTTGGAGATTATACAGCTGAATCAGGCTTAAGTACTTTATGCAGCTCTAAGCGGATATTTGTGAACAAAAGAAAGCTGATTGGCAAAACTGAAACTTCAGATCAATGTGACAGTTTGGAGATGGTAAACCGAGCCCACAAGGCATCGAATACGTCGCTGGACTTGAACTTTCCTGCTAAAGAGGGCGAAGTCTGCGACGCTGTTTCATGGGAATGTTCCACGAGCTGGTGGGAAGATTTCCTAGGAGAAGTAGATGCCACAGTGACATTCAAACGTTGTGATTTCGATGCAATATCGCGACAAATACTGGAGGATATCAGCGAATGCTTTCAACGAGTCGTGGCCTCAGATTGTTCGCTGGAGATTGATTCCAGGGTTATGATTCAGCTTGTGGCAGCTGCATTTTTGAAAGACAAGAAGGCGGTGCAGAAATGGGTTCAATGTGTTCTGAGCAAAGGATTTGAAATAGCTCAGGAGAAATATAGCCTGAATGGTCGTTCCACAGTCAAACTCTCTGTCCGAGAGGAGATGATTCTTGTAGAAGAAGAACAACTGCCATCTGAATTGCTTCCTTCTGCAATTATACTACACTAATTTCCTCGTTTGTTTTAGCAAAGAAATCAGTCGCATAATGCTACTGAGTGTTCCTGGTAATGAACCTCAAGTAGTGTACTAATAATAATATAAGACTATACTGTACGTAGCAGTTAAGAGTCGGAAGACCAGAACTTTGGATTTCAGGATCTGATTAATTACGGTAGGATGCAGTAAAAGGCCATTTTGGTTGGTCCTTGTGGATAATATGATGTACTAGTACCTCATTTGGTGTACATTCAGCTTGAGTTAAAAGAATTTATTAACTTCTGCTATTCCAGTTATTAAAATTGAGCTGAAATTCGAAAGAATTGATATCAATTTTAAAATTATAGTAACTCCGTTATCAACCTACAGAAAACACGGCACCACTCACGAAACGCTCTTAAAATTATGTTTGCTCCTTGCATAAATGGGTGTAATTATGATAGAGATAGTGACTAATTATAATGAAAATGTATAATGATTAATGAAAAGACAAGTACACCACACTTACAAAATATATTACTTGTTAATTAAGGATAAAAATATAATTTATGGGAAAAATATAATTTTAACGGTAAAGTAATTAAGGGTAAAAATATAATTTATGGGAAACGGTCAAGTAATTAAAAAATAGGGGCCTTAGCCACTATATTTTGTCACTATTTTTTGCTTAAAGGAATCAATAGTGGTTACCCACTTACCTCCAGCGTGACTCGAACCCGTAACCTATCGGTCAACAGATGAGATATCTTGCCTCTAAGCTGCACCTGGTAGTCACTATTTTTTTTTTCACTATATATATCATTTTCCAAATGAGAAATATAAAACAAATATCTAGTCACCTTTACTTATTAACAATCTCCTCTACGACCTGTTTTCCTCGTGTTTTTATCAATATAGGAAGGAGGCCAAATTGAAAAGTAACATTAGAAAAAAAAAAAAAAGTTACATTGGCAAACCGGAGATGGTAAGTCAGTTCGTTTTTTGGTGGGACTGTTGGATTCACCCATTAGAACTTCTGATTAATTTCGTTTTAGGACCGGTTCCAGAACACCAGCTGGATCAAAATGTTGAGTTTTTTTTGTAGATGTGGATGGTCTATGGCGTAGGAGTCTCTTTTTAGGATTTACTACTGTTAACAGTGCTGCTTCAAGTTACTGTTACAATGCCACCTAACTTGAATACTGGACCGGATCTACTTTACTGCGGTTTGTCAGACAATGGGATCTTTTCTACAAAGTCAACTAATCAGCTGCTCTCCCAGACAAGTGATGGCGGCAATCAACGTCTGTGGAAGACAATTTGGAAGTGGACGGGCCCTCGACGAGTTCGAAAATTTCTGTGGTTAGCTACGAAGGAGAGGTTGCTTACCAACTCGGAACGAAGCCGCCGACATTTAATTGATGACCCAGTTTGTGGGATTTGCTGTGCAGTAGCTGAAACCACATTACATGTGATGCGTGATTGCACAATGGCAAGAAACTTATGGCTTCGTTTGGTTCCCCCAACCAGAAGAGTCATCTTTTTTATGTTGAGTTTGATGAATTAGTTTTTGAAGAATCTCAATAAAGAAATTGACGATAGTGTTTCTAACTGGGATTGTAAATTTGGCATCACTGTATGGCGTCTGTCGCAAGCCAGAAATGCAAGAATTTTTTGCAACCAGGAACTCTATGTGATACAAAAGATGAAGAAAATTGATGCCTTTGTGAATAGAATTCGAGAAGCAGTGGAATCAGCTCACCGGATTGGAGGTATGGGAATATGCAGAGAGACGTGGATGATCCGTTGGAAGTCGCCGCCTGAAGGTTTCTTGAAGATTAACACATATGGGGCCTTCAATTGGCAGACGCGGATGGCTTATGCTGGTGGTTTGGCCAGAGACTCTTTCAGATGGTGTCGAGGAGGTTTTATTATGAATATAGGGTTTTGCTCTATCACCGGAGTAAAACTCTAGGGATTGTTTCAAGGTTTACAACTAGCATGGGATTTGGATTGTCGAAAAATAATTGTCGATGTGGATAATGAGGGGTGGTTACCACAGTAAAGTCGACAGTTGAGGTCGTGGGCATACATGGTGGTTTGATTAGGGCTGTCAAGGAGCTGTTAGGAAGAGCATGGAACGTGGAGTTGAATTATAATTATCGGGGACAACATTAGCAACAGAGAGTCCAGAGGGATGTCAATGTTTAGTAGAACCACCGTATGGTATCAAACTGTGGCTACAACACAACATTGACGGGATCTTGTACCCACGTAATGTAGTTGTTTGAGCAATTCATACTTTTTAGCCTCTTCTACTGTACAAAAAAAATTGTGAGGTCTTCCAAAATACTATATTCATTCGGTTCGCATTTTGAATGAAATTTATATTTTTATTTATGCAGTATTTATCTATGTTCATTAAAGGAAAAAAAAGAAAAAGGAAAAAGACAGATAGATTTGCTGTTAATGGAGCGGGCCCATAAGGCCCAAACCTTTAAGATTCATCGGAGATGTTCAACCAAAAAAAAAAAAGAGATTCATCGGATATACAATTCCTCTTTGTACCGCAAAACGACAAAAGTGGAAGTAGAACTCGTCTCCCAGACAGATCGAGTGAATCGTTATTAATTGTCATCTCAAAGAAGAAATAAAATTCACAATCTCCAGAATTGCTCAAAATCCCCCTCTAGAGTCGTCGTCGTTGCTCCTCCGGCGACCGCCGTAAATTAAATTTACAACCCAAAAAAAGCAAAGACTCCCCCAAAATATAAAAAAAATTCCCGACTTCCAATTTCTTTCCCCGGATTCCTTGTACCAGTTCCGTATCTCTGTTATCCCATTCCATTTTTGTGTATATTTATTTCTACATATTCTCTTTCCCAGTCAACACCAGAAAAAGACAAAAATAGAACAACAACAGTGTGTACTACGTCGTTTTGGAGAAAGATCAGCCTCTTCAATTTTTAATTATTCAATCTGTAACGTAAACAGAGTGAATTTGAAGTGAACTAAACCAGTTTTCCTTCTTCCTTCCTTTCTAAGCGGTGCGGTGCGCTTCTGAACTCTACTTTTTGTTTGTCCAGATAGGAAGGAAACTCAGCAGAAACATAAAAGGGGGAAAAAAACAAAATAAAGAAGAGAGAGACTACAAGTAGTCCTGCTCTCTAGTCTCGATTTCCAAAATCTAAATAAATTCAGAGAGCCCTTCATTTGCTGCGGCTCTGTATTCATCGAATTTAGGCAAAACGTACAATGGCGGCCATTTCTTCCAACCCGCGGACTGTTGAAGAGATCTTCAAGGACTTCACCGCTCGCCGTTCCGCCGTTATCCGTGCCCTCACTTCAGGTTCCATTTTTTGTTTTTCTTTTTAATAATCTTTTCAATTACATGAATAGATCTTGAGTATTGGTAGAGCTCTAAATTTGAAACCTTTCCTGCTACTGAGAACTGCCCTTTCTTATATTTCTTTTTCCCTCTTTTCTTTCACAGATGTCGACCGGTTCTACGCCGAATGCGATCCGGGTTGGTGTTTTTGTTCATCTTTTTTGTTTTAAAATATAAAGTCCCCGCAAATTGGGTTAATTGGGTCTTCATTTTTGCTGATTTTATGCGGCAAAGTTTGAATTTTTTTCTCTTAATCTCGACATTGAGGGTTTTTTTTCTTTTTTCAATTACATTAGAAAAGGACAATTTGTGTCTATATGGATATCCGAATGACACGTGGGAGGTGACTTTGCCCGCGGAGGAAGTGCCGCCCGAGGTGCCTGAGCCAGCTTTGGGGATCAATTTCGCCAGGGATGGCATGCAACGCCGGGATTGGTTGTCCTTGGTGTCCATGCACACCGATACCTGGTTACTGTCTGTTTCTTTTTATTTCGGTGCTCGTCTTAACCGCAATGAGAGGTAATGAGATATAAAAAATTAGTGCTTGTTTTTTGTCGTCCAATTTAACTTTGTTCAATATCATTCATACTGTTATGTGCTACACAGGATTATTGATGTGTTTGTGTCAGCTGAAGTTGCAATTCAATTTATCTCAATTGTCTGCATTAAACATGAATTAGCCTATTACTACCCAGTTTTCTGAAATACGTGAACAAATAGCTGCTAATGATGAGAAAAGAAGTTTGATTTTGGAGAAATTATAAGGGCTAGGCACACGGATATTGGCATTTGAATAGTCCTCTTCCTTTGTTAATCCATTTTTAATGATGTTTTCATTGTATGATTACTTTGATTTGACAAACCTTATGAAATTACAAATGTGCAACATCATAATTTGAAGGGAACAATAGGCTCTTCATCTATAGCATGGTGATTGTACTTGGGAATTCAACTATCTGTTGTGTCATAAATAAGTGAGCTCACTTTTCATAACTAATCAAGTGTTGTATTTCTTAGATGATAGGAGTAATGACTGTTTTAGTTTGTTTCTATAAGAAATGTCATGTAAATGTTGTTTCTTCTTCCTGTGCCTCATTCTTGGAACTGTTTGTGTCCTCTGTGTGCATATTCTTGAGGGATTTGCTGTTTTAAGTTTTTCTTTTGATAATGTGGGTTTGTAAGATTGAGGCCATGATTGCCTTTATGTATTTTTTTCGACACCTCAACAATTTGTTGGTATATATGGTTAAATATTGTTATTTCTAGATCTATAATTTGACTGGTAATGAACTGAGGAGGTTGGCTCGACGTATGAGTTTATGTTTTCAAGGTTACAAATTTCCTCGTGAATCAAGATAGGTGGAAGAATGTTAATGTTGGCAAAGAAAAAAGGGTTCAACTTCTGAAATCAAAAGATACAGGAGAATACGTTCTTTGAGAAGTTAACTTCGTCGGGGGATATTTGTGTGTGACTTTCTCCTGTGAAGGTTTAGACTAGTATATCAAAGGCAAAATTCCATTGATCTGTTATCTTTTCTGTTCAATCCCTTCTGTATCCCAGACATTGAGGTGGTACTTGTGGCTCGTAAGCCGCTGTTTGTTTATTGTGCCACTACGTGTTTTATCGATTGGTGGCGGGTGGATCCTTTCTTTTATGTAGTAAAAAAGAGGTGTGAAGTCATTCAGCAGCCAGAAGGTTTGGGAAAATAACATTCGCATGTTCACCAAACTATATCCCGGCCTTGATTAGTTCTCTTCTCTGATATCTTCCTCTTGCTTGTTTCGATCATGCTTATCTGTAGATCAAATTTTGAGGATGAATCCTACGAAACTGTCTTATGGGTGTCAAATGGTGGAACCTTTGGCAGAATCCAAGAAGATGATCCCGGCGTGCTTGTTTGTGAAGGTCAATGGCTGATTGACCTCCTAGTCTTTTGTTGTCGCAAGTTTTCTTAGGTACTGTTTAAGTGAAGTTGCAATTGAAAAGAAGATGCGATAATGAAAAAAGAAAAAAAGCAGTCCTGGATGATTTTGTATTATGCTGTTGCTGCTCTGCCTCAGCTATTAGCTTTCATTGCGTCTTCTGTGTCAGATTTTTTGCTGTGATGCTGCTGTTTGTTCTTGTTGTTATCGTTCACATGTAAATGTATGAATCTTTTTTTAGTTTAGATAACAAAATCAGTTTTGGGGGTAGTGACGGTTATCTGCTTCTTTTTGAACAGGAAGCGTTTGTTTAGCATGATGAACGAGCTGCCAACTGTGTTCGAGGTTGTGACAGAGAGGAAGCCGTTGAAAGGTGTAGATAGTGGAAACAAATCCAGGGGCAGCACTAAGGTGAAATGATCAGAATCTCCTCATAGGCCTGTAGCCCTGTACATGTTGATATTTCATTTTCATGTTTCCTTGGTTAAAACTTGTGTCCCAACACTTTTGGATTACAGAGATCAAGTGATGGGCAAGGTAAAGGCAACCACAGGCTACAGGATGGAAATTATGCCGATGAGGATGAAGATGAACATGGTGAAACCCTTTGCGGGAGCTGTGGGGGAAATTACAATGCTGATGAGTTCTGGATTTGCTGTGATATCTGTGAGAGGTGGTTCCATGGAAAATGTGTGAAAATAACGCCGGCAAAGGCTGAACATATTAAGCAGTACAAATGCCCATCTTGCAGCAACAAAAAAAGCAGACAATAGCAACGAGGTTACAAGAATTGTAGATGGATGTAACATTCAGGTAACTTTGTTTATATAAAATTAGTTTACGACTCTTAGAAAATCTCTTTGTCAAATCTTCTTTGAGGTTCTTTGTAATTAATCTACCTTGTTCAAAGTTGCTAACATTAAGCTGTTGAAAGTTGCTGATGTTAAGCTTATACTAAAATACTCTACTTATTGAAGTCTCCTGTGGATGTTGTTGTGTGTTTTGATAATGTCGTGCATTTCCTAATAATATCTTCTTCTGGTTGTGGTATGTAAAATCATGTTATATATATCCTTCAAGTAAATTGACTTGCTTTGTTTGACCTTGTATCAGGTGCATATATGGACGATTGGGAGATCACCCCGACCATGGTCGGGATTTCAATCAGTTAGTCTATGTTGCAGAAGAACAGGATGGTTTATGTCCGAGAATGCTAGCTTTATAGCTGTTGACATTTGAAGTAGTAGAAGAAACTTGTAGGAAGGGGCTTTGAACTAGTTAAACATTATTAAACATTATCAGTTAGTTTATGTTGCAGAAGAACAAGATGGTTTATGCCCCGACCATGGTTTTGGATGTAACTATAGTGGTTTATTGAGATATTTCATTTTGTAACAATATCAGTATTCAAATTAAATCTTCGGTTGTTGCTCTTTTCTACTATGTTGTAACATCTATCCATTGATGAAAAAGCAAAACGTGAAAAGCATGTGATGTTTTCAGCCCTTCCGTCTGTGTTTCTACAGGGACCTGTCCGTTGGTTGTCTCCATTTAGCCTGAGAATTCGAGCAAAGTCCACTAGGACCACCCAACATCCCCGTCAGCCCGCCCCACCACCGGACGTTGTCCACTTTAGCATTGAGCCCGGCTGCCCTCCACGTCGGCCCCTCCCCACCGGACAGAAGAAAGGGTTGAAAAATAGTAAAAAAGCGTATAATTCCGAAACCATGATTTGTTCAAAAAAGACCATGTTGATACAATGACTTGTGTAATCATATGCAGCATCCGTGTAAGAAATGGACAAAACTCATTCGTCCAGAGCTCCGACTGAGAAGATTGGGAAGAAAAAGTTGTCAGTTCAAAGTAATGCGTTTTTTTTTTTTTTTTCTGGATCACAACAATTCTAATATTGGGGGGAAGAAAAAAACAGAAAAACTAGCAGAATAGATTTGTCCCATTATTGGCAAATAAGGGTCATAATTTGGCGGTATTACCTGACAAAGATTAAACAGATTGAGGAGACAATGCTAAGTTGCAAACATTAAGGGTGTGTTTGGCTACATGTTTTGGGATTCAATTGGCATTAGAATATTTTGGGATTCAATTAACATTCAAGATATTCTAATTGAATGCCAAATCATTTGTTCGGCAAAATCATAGAATTAGTCACAAATTCAATTGTGATTCCAAATTCTCTGTTCGGATAGTCATGTAATTGGGTTGGTTTTGGCTTTTGCTTATTTTTTACAAAAATAAAGAAAAAAGAAAAATCGATTTGTTTTGAAATTATTTCAACTTTTAATTTTTGTTAAATTAAATAGTGTCATTTCTAAAATAATATATAAATATGTAAAACGAATAATATTAAGACAAACAATGTGAGAATATTATGTTAGATAATCTACTTTATTTAATTAAAATACATTTTATAAATTGAGTGTGATATGCACTTGGCTATGACTTTAGTCCACAAAACTGGAGGAAGATTAACATAAAGAAATGACTCACAAAAGGAGGGCTTGACTGATCTGCACAAAACCTGGTGCAAAAAATGGAATTTCTCATTCAAAAGTCAATGAAACAACTCTACTCAATTTTCACGACTTAAATCTAAGTTGGTTTAAGGTACAATAAGAATTGAAGGTTCTGGCAACGGGCATTGAATTGGACGATCATTGTCTAGCGGCTCAATTGGATGTTCAACTGGCTTAAACTCAACTTCAACTTCAATCCCATGAGCGGTAGCTGAGGTGGCTCCTGCAAGGGTAACTCCAGTAATTCCCTCAGAAGCAGGGGGCAATACTTCCCTGCTGATTTAATGTGTAGTAGTACTATTAAAGATGTACAATATCATTTACACTTCCATTGTCTTTTTGAAAAGTTCAATTCATTAGTGCTGAAATTGGCATAATCGGTTGTTACTACATTGATCAAACTGTGAATGAAATACTCTTCCAATTTTGATAATTAAGATACCATTTGGCAACATACTTGTTACAAGAAGTTGAAAGTTTCACAATCTGATGACTAAACAACTGTATTTACAGGCAAGGAACTTCAAGAGAAAGCAAACATTATTTCTATAATAATAATAATAATCTTTATATTATTTCTTGGGGAACCTTAGGATAACATGAGAGTAGCAATTATGTAGATCTATCAAAGATCTAAGCAATCGCACGTATAAACTAGTTATAAAGACGAATAGACTGACAACACATACTTAGAAAACATAGTGCTAAAAATAAACGCAGGAGGCCCCCTTAAACCCCAGCGAGATAAAGGCTTCTTAATTAGCAGCAGGATTTCCCCCCACAGCGCAGACGGTAACCTTCACCGGCTCAGCCTCCACCTTAACTTCCTTCATCGGCTCAGCCTTAACATCTTGAACAATAGCAGGAACCGCAGGAGCTACTTGTTGTGGCTTCACATCAACTTCCTTCTTGACCTCAACCTTTGGTGCTGAAGAAGATCTGCATGATGAATAACAACAACCCTTTCCGCTCATTTTGAACTGTCACAAAAGAGAGAATGCAAACTGAAGGAAATATGTAGATATATATATGAATGCAAATGAAAGAGAATGGACTATTTATAGGCCGATTGGATTCTTGGTTTGATGAGATTAAGCGTGTTTTGAGTTAACCAATGCATCTCTCACTCAAATCTCTTCATTTTCCCATGCAGATTATTAGTATCTTTTGGCATTAATTTTAGAGCATAGTACTTTGTTGTAAAAAAAAAAAAAACAGAACCAAAGTTGCCTGATTCACTGCCATTTTGCTCTGGAATTTGGGAATTCTGTGTATAGGAACGATCAAGGAGGAAATTGATGCAATCATTAAGGAGATTATCACGATGCAACCCAACTCATCATATCCTTTAGTTCATTACCCTTTTCGATTTTTCTCGTTATCATTCATCACTTTTAAAGTTTGCTTAAAGATGTTCTACGACTTCTGACCATTCATCACTTTTAAGCCATAGAAAGGAAGAGTATAAGAAGAAACAAAGAGACTAATCAAAAAGTTACGGCAAATCAAAACTTGCTTCAAACTCGTAACTAAACAAGAAAAGATTTAAATTCTGTTAATGAGTAGTGACATCAATATGTAACTAGAGAGTAGAGACATCAATATGCGTACATAAAGATTTAAAACATTTATAAATAAGCCCCAGTATCGTATCAGAGGTACATCTGCTGCTCCAAATTCATTAATATAAGCACTAATTGATCCAGATGATAAATTAGTGCAGAATATGATATGCTAGCTTTATTTAACAACAAGCATTAAGCCTTTATACTTTGTCCCACTTAATCTGTTAAATAGATCATATTATTAATTGCCAACATATCTTGGTGCACCATATAAGAATTCGGCATGTAACTATATATCCGTAGAGTTGCTTAAGAACACTAATGCTATTAAAGACTTAAGCGGCTAAAGGTTCAGGCGTTCAGCCATGTCTCTATATTTGGTATAGTATATTCAGCATGTGGCATGTGCATATAGTATATCGTTAATGACTTCGACTGAGAATCACTTTGGTTGGTGTTTTCATTTATTTGTCAATTTAAAAATTTAAACCCAAAGTTTTAGGTAAAGGTAAGGTAAAGTCACGGTAAGCCTAAAAGCTTTAACAGAACCATTTATAGTGCAGATGCATACAGAGGAAAGCAGAGTATAAAGTGCTAACATGGGCTGTTTGACTTGCAAAGAGAAAGTGTATGAAGAAATATGCCAGTTGAAGGATAGCAAATGCACCAAAATGATGTATTGAGCGAGCTATGAATAACTGACCTACACTATCCAAGAACCATGAAACAACGCCAAGAGTGGTTAATTAGACAGCCATGCCTGCTAGAACCCCAAAGCCAATGTATCTCATGCTGACTTTTCACTTAAAACAATCATTCCAATCAAACACCTCCAACAGCAGAAATAATGACAGATCAAGCAGTTACAGTAGATATATCAACAGCCTTTCTACATCAATAGAATCACAATCAGTCACCATGGTAATGCAATCAAAACAAACAAGAAGACAGTCATGTTTCAGTGCAATGATTAAGTAGGAAAGAAAAACTAGTGAAAAATCAGATTGCCAAAGAGGCTAATATTCCAAAGAGGGTATACGAACTTTAAGCCCGTTATGCAGATAACTTGATCACTATACAAGAGTGAATTCATTAAATGCCATTGTTTCACAAGGATATTAACACACTGTCCAAATGAATCATCGCAAAACTTAACCCAGAATTAATACGAAGAACCCTGTGTATTTCAAATGGTAACCGCTGAAAGCACAAACAATAATCCTATCTTTTATTAGGATTCTTGAGGGTTGCTGCAAATGAACCTCTTGTATCCCTTTACAACAAAGGCCGATAAAAAAGTATTACATCCAATAAATAGACAAGTAAACTTAATATTGGGCACACTTCAACAAAAAAAAAAAAAAACTTATGTCGCAAAACCATAACAGTTCAACTGCAGTATGAGAGATATCCATGTCAAAGTTTTAGTATGGATAAACTCCAGAACTAAAAAGTTATACTCAAAAAAAAAAAAAAAAGTTAACTGCTAGTGCTAAGTAAACTCCAGAACTAAAAAGGTATACATAGTTTAACTGCTAAAAAGCCCCAAAATAGGATTAGCTCCATTTCCTGAATAAGAAAAGATTTTTAACCTGATTAGATTAGTTCCAACTACACAATAGATACATAAAATCAACCCTTAGCAGAAAGTGCCTCAATTGGAGAAGTAAACTACACTAACCCTTACCAAACAAAGCATTAGTTCTTCGTGCCTAATCAACACAAAAAAAAACAAGACCACAGAGACTATTAAAATCAACATCACACTAGATCACATCAATATAACAACATCACCTCAATATAACTCATTAACTTGTAACTACATAGCTAAAATTATTTTTAATTTTTTCAAATTATTAATTCTTATCCACCAGAAAAAATACTTGTTCAGAGCTGAGGATGTAAAGATAGGATTATTCTTCTTGGTTGTTTCTTTATTAAAGAAAAAAATATTAAAAAGCTGTATTTTTGGACCAGGAAACAATAACGGAACAGCGAAGAGAGAAAACGTTACCTGGAATTGAAGTCCCTTTGCACAACGGATTTGAAAGAGGAGTACTGTTGAAGAAGAGAAGTCGGCGGGCTATGTTCTTGAGAAACAAAACTGAGTAAGGTGCCGAGAAGCAGACCCAGTTTGAATTTGACTCCAATAAACAAAACTCACAAAAATTCAGACAGATTCCTGCTAAAACAAAACCGATTTGATTGAAAATCTAAGCATCAGAAGAAAGTATGGGAAGCTAACCTTAATCCATGCGAAAGGAAGAAAGAGGGAAAATAATAAAGAGGGAAATAAGAAAGAGTGGAGTCGCAGCCTCCTTTGTCTTCGCCTTCGCCGTCATCAATTGGTAGGAGATCAGTGCGGAGTCGGAGATGAAGGGGTGGTGTCGCGGCAGAGTAAGGAAAAGCTATGAGATGAGAGAGAGAAATCAATGAAGTAAAGTAAAGCCGTGAAAAATAAAAAAGGAGAAGACCCGAATAGCTTATAACCCGAGTTTTTTTTTATTTAACCCGGGAAAGACCCGCGTCTGATTCAACTCCATGAGAGTTTGGAATCTCAAATAATACCTTCAAGCCCGGAATTAAAATTGTGGCATTGGAAGCCTTTTGGCATTGGACTAATGTCAATGCCATCTTATTTTTTAGTAGCCAAACACCGGATTTAGCATTGGAGGCCCAAATTCCAAATCCAAGCCTCCAATGCCATGCAAACGAACAGACCCTAAAGCTCCATTTGGACAAGGACTTCAAAAACCTTTTTAAAAATCCATTTGGACAAACTATTTGGGGTATTTTTGAAAAGTCTTTTTGTGGTATTAGTTACGTAGACTTGTAGAGTTCGTGACAACAAAATTCCACAGTGATATTGCGTTTCGTGTTGGCTCTGTGTCCACGCGAAAGTGAGCAAAATTTTTACAGTCTACACAGTTCTATCTATTATAGATCAGAATTGCAAGTCCATTCTGTGTAGTGTTAAGGCCTTCTTTTAATTCAATTCTTTTCTGATAGTACTAGTGATGTCTGGTCGCGCAATGCGCGACCTTGGCCCAATATATCTGTAGATTTTAGAAATATTTGTATCTGAAAAAAAAACTATTTTGTATTTAGGCCGATATATTTCAGAATTATTTGAAGAATTTAGAAATGTTTTATAAGTGTGATCATAGAAATATTTGTATATTGCATAAAAAGAAATTGTATTTGGCCCGGTACGTTTTAGAAATGTTTGAAGATTTTAAAAATGTTTTATAAGTGTTACTTCTTAAATATAAATAAACTTGATCAAATATATGTCTTGAAATAAATGCAAGACAAAATATAAAAACATCCTCATAAGTTTAAATATTAGTAAGATAATTTATTGATGTTCTCTATTGGTTGTGCCAAATCAATACTTAGTTTTGGAGATTTATAATAGTTTTGTAGTAAGCTTCCTTAAAAAGAGTATACGCTTAATTGTTGAAAATATTTCTTCCAAAAGTTTATAGGTAGTAAAATATCAAAAATATGATTTTGAAACTGGTTAATTGTTGAAACTGATTGATCACAAATATGAGAATTAAAATAATGTAAATTTACATAGGCTTCAAGTTATAGTAAAAAAGAACTAAACTCACCATGGGAAATTAAAAAAAAAAAAAAAGAAAAAAGCAAAAGATAGCCCATTAAAAATTGAGAAATTTATTTTTTTCTGTAGGTAAAAATGATGTATAAAAACACAAATAAACGTAGAAAAATCATTCATTCCCTCTCCATCTCAAATTCATAAAAAACTTCCCCATAAATTAGTTAGAAGAAGCGACCTGAACTATTTATATGATGAGGAACTAAAAAAAGTGCAAAAACTAAATCCAAAAAAGTATATTCTTGAAAGACCGAACACCAAAAAAAAGCTCTTCATTTGTAAATAAAATAAAATAATAATAATAATAATTAGTCAACTGGGAGTATGAAACAAAATCAAAAGCAATTAAACAAAGAAAAAAACACACTGCATAACTGACCATAAACGAAAAAAAACCTGAGACTCCATAATAAAAAAAACCAGACTAATTGAATGAAACATAAAAAAAATTTTAAAAACCACACTTTGTAACAAAAACCCAATTAATCAATTCAATCCAAACAGAACTAAAATCATACAAAAATTCTAAGCTAACTAACCATATAAGAAATCACATCATATTAGCTGACAACGGCTACGGTAGCTGTAACGGATGAACGCATAAAAATAATAGTAATAATACTATTCTTGAACGGGAAAAATAAAAAATAATAAAAGCCAAACAAATGATCTGCGGAAATAAAATCATTTAAATTTTAATACTTGTAATGGCACCACCATAATGGCCGAAGCAAGATCAATGAGAATTTTTTTTTTCCTTTGTTTTATATAGTGAGGTAAAGAGAATATTTTTTGAACTCGAAATTTTATCAGATTAGGATGTAGTTGATCATCACTGATGAAAAAATTTATGCTAATAGGAAAGGAGTATATTTCACCACATATTTTCAATTGATGATTGATGAGAAATTTGTTTTTTTTTTTTATTGTGGAGAAGGGATTGATTAAAGAGTCGATTGTCGTGGAGATGGGAATGAGGATTTGGATTTTTAATGAACACGTGTTTTTTTTTTTTTTGCGAAAATAGGAGGTGAAGGTGGATTTGGACTGCATTTATCTTTTAAGTCTAGGAGATGTGTAAATAAAAATTTATTTTAAAAATATGATGTGGAAATGCCACATGGCAAATGGTGGGGCTTTCTCTAAAGTGTAATTTTTGTTTCTAATATTGTAAGATTTGCTTAAGAAATGCAGTATAATTGCATGATTTGATTTTTTTGCTGTTGATATTGTGTTTGATTTTTTTATTTATGTTAGAAAGACATTGTGTGAAGAAAAAAAATTAAAAAAATAGAATTAAAATTTATATAAAGATGTTTTTTTTTTTGAAAAAAAATTCATATAAAGTACTTTTGTAATTTTCTTGTCCAAATGCCTTTTTAAAATTTTTTACTATTAAAATGATTTTGTAATATTCTTGTCCAAATGCATTTTTCCTGCAAAAATATTTTCTAAATTTTTCTCCAAAAAGAGTATTATAAAAAGATTTATAAAAACTTGTCCAAATGGAACCAAAATATCTACAAGGATTTTTAAACAAGTGAAAGTGGAGGGCATTGTTGGGGGAATTCCTTGACATTTCGTTTTACACATTTACGCTTACTCTAACACTGGTCTAAATGTCTAATATTTGGAATGAAAAAATCGACCGGATCCTCAGTCGAGGTTGGATGACTCTATTTCATATATTAGATGGCATAAATGGACACGGTAGCCACTTCAGAGAACCAAAGTACAGTATAATTTTGATTTTAACCATTTCATCTTTCCATAAAGTATATTTTAAAACGGACCATTACCGCTAGAATCTGATTTGATTCGAGTGATTATCCAAGACCAACAAATAGAATATTAGTGTATTATTATGAATCGATTCCTTACTAGCAAAAGCTTCATTCCAGAAGAACATGAATTGATTTTTTTTTTATGCTAATTAATTAGCCATAGATTCGATGAAATTGTATGCACACACCCAACTATATGTATTGTCAAATGTATATATATATATATATATGTGAGTGAGTGAGTGTGAAACTTTTAAGAGAATCAAATACTCTTAAAAGTGAGTGAGTGAGTGAGTGAGTGTGAAACTTTAAAACATTTTTTGGTTACAACATTTCTACCCATAAATGTCAAATGTCTTTCACGCAGAGAGCCTAAGGCTTTGTTTGTTTCAATTTTTAGATGGTTTTTTTAAATTATTATATTATTAACTGTTTCATTTTAGTATATTTTTTTATATTTTCAATATATTTTTTTTATATTTTCAATATAAAAATACCTAAAAATACACACTTAAAAACCGAAACAAACACACCCTAAGCTTTCACGCACTCATTTCATTGATTCATTCGTGCTTATATTATCTACTCTCTAGTGAGGAAAACGTGAGATTTCCCTTATCTTCCAGCGTTTACGACTTCATTGGGGACAAAAACAAGTGGAGGAAAACCTTCGATCATGATTTAAACAGTAGCTATGGAGGAGCATTACCTAGAAAGAAAATGACAGGTTGTACTAGGTAGTCTTATTAGTGCATCATGAGTGAAACCCCATATATACCTCCATTGTACAACAAGAAACACGTCAATTAAGATAACTTCCCCGGAACCTTTTATTGTAATATGTCAAAGTCACTTTGAGCTCCCATCTCAAAACCAATTAACAATGAGTGAGGTAGCCTTTGGCATTTATAAACAGGTGATAGATCCTTTACGACACCGATGTGGGATTCTTTTTGTCTCAACACCCTCCCTCAAGTCCAATAAGGTATTTGGCCCATTGGGATTGCACAACACAACATAATTAACCAATTATACTGTTGGGTCAGTCAACAAGGGGTTGCACAACACAACATAATTCACCAGATATACTGTTGGGTTAGTCAACAAGCAACACAACATAATTCACCAGATATACTGTTGGGTTAGTCAACAAGCAACACAACATAATTCACCAGATATACTGTTGGGAGCCCGTGCACACGGGTACATACTCCAAATATATTGTCGGATCAGTAACAAGCCCACCCGTGTGCACGGAAGCGATTAACGCAAGTCCAAGGCACACGGATCCAAGCCCGCACACGCGGGTCTATCATTATCACATGTCCACAGATCGTGGGATCTGATACCATGTCAAAGTCACTTTAGGCTCCCATCTCAAAACCAATTGGCAATGAGTTGGGTGACCTTTGGCACTTATAAACAGGTGACAGATCCTTCACGACACCGATGTGGAATTCTTTTTGTCCCAGCATAATACTAGGACTAATTATGTTTTGGAAATGATTAAAACATGGGATAATAATTTTCGATTATTAGCCATTGATTTTCCACCATTAACGATTCAAAGTTCAGAGTTCAAACCTGCCGCGTACATTGATTGATATATGGAAGGTAAGAATCATCGTACCAATATGATTAATGATGATGGCATAAAATTTTCTACGAGGATCATCATTAGATGATTTACACTTAACATATAAATGACCTACTTAATTCAACAATGGATAAATAATTTTTTTTTTTGAGAAAGATGAAAAATTAATTAGTGTAGTCGTAACCCGAAGGCTTGATGTTATCTTGGGGAATTTTGAAACTCCGACAATTGGGATTTGCCCTTTGGTCCTTTGGTCCTAATGTAAAGTCGATACTCGTCGAAGGTCATGGCTGGATAAAGTGCCGGTTTCTGTGGCCTGACAAGCTCCTTTGCTGGTCCAATTAGCAAATCGCTCTTTGGGTTATAAAAGAAAGCAAGCGACAATCGTTCTCTATCTGAATTCACTATCACCCTATGCTCCACACTTTTGTATGCTGCATTGCTCAACACCTGATAACAAAACCTATAAGGTCAATTTACAGAATCACATCTAAAAATAAAAAAAAAAGAAAGAAAACCAAAGCTCTCCCTTCATTAAGAGACACTAATTCGTACCAACCTTAATAACTGCTAAAATAATAGACAGTGATGATATATTTTTAAGCGATCCGCTTTTTATTGGATATATCATTTCTTGTCTTTTTTTTTTTTTGTGTGACTTCATCACTCTTTTTTTTTTTTTTCTTTTCTCTTACGCTCCAATTATAACAGTAATTGAGTTTATGTGCGTTCTGTATGTTTGTACTGCAGATTCGATTCTCCACATACCAAAGTCAATTGTTTCGTTTCTTCTCGGGTTTTAAGCCACAGGAAGTTGTCGCTTCTTTTGCTGCTCCCCTGGTGGGCGTTTATTAAAACTAATTTATAATAATGAAAGGCTGATAACTTGTTTGGTCCGTCCAGGTTTTATTTTAGTTTTTTTTTTCAAACTGCATTTTCCTTTAATGATTTTCTCTTTCTCTCAATTTAATGACCAACCATTCGGATTTATACTATTACAAAAAAATACCCTTATTATAGAAATCAATTGTTATATTCTTGTACATCAAACATGTTGTACTTAAATATGTAAAAAGATTTGAAGTAGGTCATAATTAAATCACGTAATGCATGACGTATTATACTTGTCTACTCATCCTCTTCAACAAACAGATCTAGATATCAATATTCCTCCAAACATGAAAAATAGGTGGATTATATTATTAAACATCATATTCCTCGAAGATTAAGAATGATATTATAAATTTATTAGGTTTTCTTGTTATTTTCTTTTTTAGAAGAAGAAGGAGGAGGAGGAGGAGGAGGAGGAGGAAAGGATAAATCAAATTAAAGGTCACTCAACAACCAGTACTCCTCTTCTTTGGGGCCTAGACCCCCTATCCAAAGCTTCCAGAAAGAACAAAAAAAATAAAATCAACACGTCCACCCCCACAATTATCTGCTACCCATTTTCGTCATAATTGACGTCTAACCACCAACCTAGCTTGTTTACGCATTCATAGTATTTGCGCACGTTTAAAACCTTTCTCTGGCCTAGCTTAATTTTAACGCCAAAAACAAAAAAATAAAAAAAAATCCATCATCATATTTTAAACTAAGTAACAGGTAGTAAACTTTTAGCATATGAATTAATTACCTGAATTTGATCGCCGATGTTGACAATGAAAGCGTGTGGAGCCGGCTTAACCGTGATCCATTGATCGTCTTTTCGAACTTGGAGGCCGGCCACGTTATGGTCGGTTAAGAGCACTGTCAATCCACCCGGATCTGAGTGAGAGGAGAGGCCGAGGGTCAATTCCGGTTGTGGACACTTGGGGTAAAAATTGACCCTTAAACAAGCACCGATGTCGTCCCCTCCGAATGCATTCTGTAGAAAATCTTGGTCCAACCCGAGATTTTGTGACAGCACTTTCATCATCAACCCGCAAAATTTAACCACTTGTTCCGAGTATTCATCAATCACATCCCTGAGATGCGAAACAGGCACACAACATTACATTTGGTACTCGTGAAAATCATGTTGATGTTGATGTGATACTTAAGAATCCAATGAAATGCACGCAACAATGCTACAATTTCATGTGCTCATTATTTATGTGTTCCTTCTTTCAACCTTGATCGTTAAGTGCCACATCATTGTCCCACAAATGCCGTGCCCAAGCTTCATTATGACTAATTAAAATCATCTCCTTAAAGGGGTTGGATTGTTGGGCCACACCCTCTATTCGGAAATAAGTGTCATTTTAGTAAAATGAAAAAATTTTAAAATGAGCTTGTTTTCTGATTCCAATGCAATTTTTGGCTAAAATTGTCCTAAATTATCCTCAAAAAAAAAAAAAGTATTAACTGTAACTATTTGTTGTTGTGATGGAATTGATGGAGCATATTTTAGTAATTTAATAACCTGTCTTAATTGTTTCTTAAATTGTATTTCATATGTCCTAAAATTATTGTTCATTTTAGGTTTTCACTTTCAATTTAATTTGTACTAAAAATAAAAATTCAACTAGACAATAATTATTAAAGAAAAAAGTATGTAAGTCGTGACACTTATTTTAGAATTGAAGAAATAAAAAGTAGTTTATCGGGTGTTACTTTTGCGACTAGGTACGGTTCAAAAATTCTTGCAACATAAGTATGTAAGTTGTGACCAGGTATGGGGTGTTACTTTTGCGACCAGGTACGGTTCAAAAATTCATGCAACATGTGTAATAATTCACCGTAACGTGGTTTGTTTCCGACGTGTTCCTGCTTATAGAAGTTGACTGATAATGGCTACTCTTCGCTCTTTTTTCTTTGTCTTTTTTTTCCATTCTATAAAAAAAAACAAATTAAAAAGATACATACAACTTGGATATATTAGCAATTTATATATATATATATATATATATCGGTCTTGAAAATGAGCAGCATGATACTACTTTTTACGGAAGATAAGATGAAGCAACCTCTTGACGCACACATGAACTGTGTGGCACACGATGCAAATGCAAAACTGTACGTGAAAAATATCCCAATACAAGCCATCAATTTTCCATCTATATTTTCAAAACAAACTCACTAAAACCTATGACTCTTATTTCGGAACGAAACGATTTGTTAATTTTTCTGCGGCTTAGAAAAACAGACCCAACAGTTTGCAGCTTCAGGCAATGATGATGGTCGGAGTGGCCCAGAAGTAAATGCTGTGTTAAGAGAGTAACTTACCTGAGGTCCAGAGGAAGCGCCGGCCACTTGTTTGGATCTTTCAAGGAACAAGGAAGATAGTGGAGGTAATAGTAGTCACCCCAGTCAAGAGTTGCGCCCTTCTGGATCCCCAGTCTGCTGCCGTAACCTTCATAAGTCTTAGGGGAATTGGCATAAGCCTGCTTCACTTCCATGGGCTGGTGGAAAAACCCATACCAAACTTCTCTAGCCCGGTCCAGAAGTTGAGGGCTGATTCCATGGTTGATGACCTGGAAAAACCCCCACTCCGTACAAGCCTCGTATATTTTCTGCAGAGTGGATTCGCGCCGGATGGTGTCGCCGTTTAAAAAGTCGGCGAAATCGATTAACGGGATGTTAAGCTTTGAAGAAGAAAAGCTACTGGTGCTGGATATTGGTACTGTTGGTCTTTGATCAGGAGGCTTAACATATCTGTCTGGGATTACGGGCAAATCGGATAAAGTTTGGACACGAACTATTGGTTCGGGCCAATCAGTTGGGGAGTTCATCACTTGTTGTTGCTGTTGTGAGTAACTATTTATTTGTTAGGTTCCTGGAATGATCCTAACTGGGAGCAGTTGTAGTAGATGTATATTACTTTGATATAAAAGCACGTATAGGACAGGACAGAGACTTCAACAACAGTGTGTGTGTGTGTGTGTGTGTGTGTGTGTGAAAGAGAAATAGAATTATATATATCGCTGACACAATGAGAGATTTAAAATATCTCTAATTATCTGGAAATCAAGCATGTGGAAATTAATTTTGAAGGGTAGCACTGTTTAAAACTTTATATAAAAGGGGTATTGCTAGCTACTAGCTAAAATGTGGCAGTCTGGCTAACAAATTGCTAGCTAAAATGGAGCAGTGATGAAGTCAAGTGGCAAGATCCGAAAGGATTGAAATGGACGTACATGGAAAGAACGTGAAACTGGTGTTTAAAATGTGCCCTTGTCTTTGTGTGGCTGTGGAAAAAAAGGCATAGGCCGACTTCTGGAAAACAAAAAATTAGGTTATCCGATCCGGTCCTATTTAAAAGGTACAAATTAAACCTAAAATACCGAAATGACGGTAATAAAAAAAAATGTAAAGTGAGAGCCGACAGAGGACAGGTCCGATCAGGTTTTACGAAAACTTTGGCAGTGTGTTTTCTGGCCATTTAAATTGCGGGAAGGCATAGATACGAAGTAATTACGGCGCCGTGTGCGACTTGTACTCCGGGAGGGATTAGGTCCACAATCACATGTTGAAAAACTATTGAACCAGAGGAGCACAAGAGGGAGCTCAGTGAATGATTTTTCTATATTTCTTTTCACTTTCAGGCACATCATATCTGATGAAGAATTAGTCACCAGAAGTAATCCACCAGACTTTTCCCTTCTGTATGGTCAACCCTGGTTTTCTTTTTTTTTTTTTTAATTTCATTTGGCAACTTGTCTTGTAATAAAATTGTAATAATGGGAGAAAATGAAAGAAAAATAAACAATTTTGGAGATTCGAATCGCTGCTGAGGGAATAATTAAATTAACTTTTAAAAAAGTGGGGGTAAGTGACAAATTAACGTGCTTCTGAAATACGGTTTTCTCTCCGAACTAACGACGCACTCAGAAATTAACAGGTGAGTGATGTGGTGATGATTGCGGATAATTAGAACCTTCCAACATCCAACTTATGGTTTTTTATGTATTCTTTTTGTACTACATTGTTTTTTTCTTTTTTGTTATAAGTTAGTGTAACGATCTGGCAAGATGTCGACATATGATTCATATAACCGATCCTACCTAACAGAAAAAAAAAAAGTTTGTTGTTGTTGTTGTTGTTGTTGGTTATAATTAAATTAGTGTTTGAAGTTTTCTATGATACTTTGTTTTCCATTTGAAATAATTACTTGTTGAATGAATACATCCAATTAAGTTGGGCTCAATCCTCCGCTATGTGTACCTTGGTATGAATCAAGAATTTTTCTGATTCCGTATTATTTGTTACAAAAATAACATAAAATTATGCTTATTGACCTAAAATATTACTATATGGGTATGACTTTAATTATTTTTAACAGGAAGGGTATTATTAACAATGAATATCTGTTTTTGTGTGTGCGCGTGGGAGCCTGGTTGTGTCCACAAAAAAAGTTGTAAAATATATCCTGGATAATGTTATTTAATTATCACATTTCAGAATTCACTTTATTAAATTAAATAGTATAACAAAAATGTACTACTATTATAAAAAGACCAACATATAAGATCCGGTCGTACGTGCAAGTCCTTAGTCCTTGAAGATTGAATACTATTGCCTTGTTGTATGCACCGACATGTTTCTGTACCAATAGTTTTGAAACACACTGGTGGTAACTTGTAATAATATACCATGATGCAAATACAAGTACGCCTGCATTTGATCTAATGCAATCGATCGATGTACTATATTATGGAGCCAGTGTTTTAGTACATGCAGTATTTATCCATCATGCACGTTTTCACTTTCTTTTTTTTTTTTTTTTCCTGCCCAACAAATGAGATACTCCCTCTATCCCAAACTTATTGTCCAGTTTGAGATTTCACTTTTAGTACAATTTGAACTAGAAATGAAAACTTAAATTGGACAATAATTATGGGACGGAAGGAGTACTAATGATCAGTGCTTGCAATAACGAATCACTCTTGTGCAACACAATATCATGATTAATTCAAAATAATTACATAACGATATTGAGACCTCAAATTGTATTATATTTTAATTCGAAACTTTGTTTCTATTTGTAGTTAAACGTGTCTCGTTAGCGTTTCTTTTTTTAAAAAAAAAAAAAAATATGGTTTGCACTTTGCATTCTTGCGCAATTACCCATTTCCTGAATTGGTGATCAAATTGTAGTAGTCGAACTACTTCTCATATAATGAATAATTTAATCGGCTATACCCTGAATTTTTCCGATGAAGAGAAAGGGTACGTTTTTAAAGACTCGTTGATGAGGTGAAGAAGAAGATCGAGCTGGTGGAGCTTAATTAATACTACTCCAGTTATATACAGACAATTGAAATTGTGGGCAAGCGTGACTATTTCGAACCATATACTAATTTCTCACTAATATATATATAAAAAAAAAAACATTACATCAATATAGACGACAAATGATTTCACAGTTACTTTAGTTAGCAAATAAATAAAACCCCACCTAACAGAGAAAAGATCATCCTACCAGAAAAGAGACGCAATTACTACAGTTTTGAAACCTTGCCTATTCATCATTATTCAATGCCTTAAGTTCTTAAGTCCAGGTCCCAGCCTTTACGTACGTTGTTTAAAATATGTACTATTTGATTAGTCTTTTCCCAACATTCCAAAAACATCATTTTGAAACTTAATTGATTCGGCCTAATCCGTTAACCACAATTGACTGATGAACAACTGGCTTTAAAAAAAAATTAAAAAAAAAATTGAAATCATTTACAATATCTCTGCAGAAACTAAATACTTTAGCATAGTTGCAAAAACATGCGGTTTTCTTTTTGAACATTTCCTTGTCATCATACGACTTGTAGTATTGCTCATTCATCACAAGTGAAGAATAAAGAAACTTCAATATTGTATAATTTGGTGAAGGCTAACAATGTACTTTTGTTGACCCTCTCTACAGAGTTCAGAATATTCTTTCCCTCTGTATGAATTGAAAATCTCCCAACTGATAAGTTATTGCTAATAATAATTTATGCCAACGAATCATTGCATAGACAGTTGACCAACGGAGACCACTGTGATTATCCGCAACAGCACATCAGTACTCGTCATTCTAACTTTTTAATAACGAAAATCCTTATTGTTTACTTTTTATTTACTCATATTTTATTTGTTTATTTATTTTATAGAATATTTACCGTCGACAATATTGACTAATTTCTCTTCGATGGTCGGTATTTCGGCGGGGGAAAGTGGCAACATACTAGTAAGCAATAATTCTTCTTCTTTTTTTCTTGTATGTATACCTATAACAATAATACGATCCACGAATTTTTAAAAAGTCGACTTTGATTTGATCGGCTTAAGACCAGACCAGGTTAAGATCACATCCCTAGTTCTTGATTTCTCCCATGGCAATAAGTACACCCTCCCGAAATTAAAATACGAGGTGTATCTGAATTCTGAAACGACCATTCATTTACGAAGCACATCATTATATGTCTCTCTTTTTGTCACCAAACAATACATTAAATCTCTCTCTTTCTCTTGTCGCAAACTATGTACCAATAACTAGTTTTCTTCTTCTTCTTTTTTTCCCATAAAACTGAAAATGGTCCAAGATGAATTTCCCGAATGTAGATCAATGATGTTAACGATCGATGGCAAAGACGATAGAACAGAGAGAGAGAGAGATAGAGAAAAAACCATTAAAAAATTCGACTTTTCAAAAATATTTGTGGCTTTAAAACAAATAAAATGAGTTGACATACACTATAACTAGTTATTTTGAAGCTCCCGCTACGCGAGGCTCTCTATTTGCGAAATGTAAATTAGATTTCTTTTTCGTAAATTAATGCAAGTATAATACTCCCTCTGTCCCAAAATTATTGTCCAGTCTGAGATTTCACTTTTAGTACAATTTGAATTAGAAATGAAAATCTAAACTGGACAATAATTATGGGACGGAAGGAGTAACATTTAACATTTTAAATTATATCTGTATTTTTGAAATTTAAATTTCTCTTTAGTAATTGAGATTAGAGGTGAAAAATAATGATAATGAAAACAAGGGCCCCTAACAATTCAACCCAGATTGTTGAAGACCATTCTCTTGAAACGGAGGCTCTCTCGATTCTGCAACATAAGTAAATCTAGCATATGGACTCTATTCTGGGATTCTAGAAGGTGAATATTAATGTGAGATGTCAAAAATGTCCATGAAAACTGACGACAAATCAACCAACCAACTACTGTAGATTTTAGGATTCCCATATTATATTAGTAGTAGATATACTTAATGATTCTTTTTTTAAAAAAAAAAAAAGAAGAAGAAGAAAGAATGCAAGCAACTTATATTTTCTTTACATGGTTAAAAACTTGAAATTTTTGATCAATTTTTGACATAAAAATTATAATGAGTACAGTCTACTGGCCGGGAGGAGGATCAAATGTGGTGTGTGCTTGGTTTGAGACTTGAAAAAGCAACCAGCAATCCAGCATGGGCAGGATTTGTAGTCATGCCGAGTGGCGACAAGGACTGTAATAAGTCCATATGGTAACATTAATGCGCAAAAAATGTGTTGCGTTTCAATTTTTATACTCTTTTCGTATTTTAATTATAAAACACAAATTTTACGCATTTATAATTTGAATCTGAAAGAGTATCAATGTGATGTAGTTATCATGAGCATTTTTTACTGATGAAGCAGAAAATATTCAACTAAAATTCAAATTAACAAGGGTCCCTCAACGCAGCATGTGTTATTTGTGTTCACATTGTCCCCCACGAACAAATCAAACACGCCAAATGAGATCCAATTATAACTACAAGTTTTTTTTTTTAATTAATCTCAAGTATGTAACGGCCTCGTAAAAATTTAAACATTATACTTACTTTTAATGAATATAAATTGGAAAATTTTACGGGAAACCAGAGAATGTTTTGGTATATTTTGCAAAAAGAATAAAAATAAATTAAAACATTACTTTTATTAAGATAATATATATATATAATTAACTGTCACAACTGTAAAAATGAAAGCATGACTTTTAAGATAAAGTATATCAAGAGTACGTATTAGATATAGATATATTTTCCTCTATTCTGATCATAGAGTCTCTACTTTTCAGTTTTCACATATGAAAATCCAAACTAAATTAGGAGGGAGTATCAAGCATATGAATTTTTATTTAAAAAAAATATATCATTTTTACATTTTAAAAAAGGGGATGGGGAACTCACCAATTCACGTTTTATCATAACAAGTTAGATTTGGGCAGAGATGAAAGGGACACACTAAAATGAAATTGACTAATCAGTTTCACTGGTGCATGGTCCCTCCCGGATCGGTTTTATCTATTTATTTATAGAGAAGTCGAAGATAACTTAGATAAGTACTAGTAAAAATGATGTGGTATAACCTTTAGAAACAAATCATGGAATATGGAAGCCGGAAGAAGTTTGTTCCAACTTCAGAAACAAGTGATGATGATATTTTTTGAATTTTGTAGGCTAATGGAGAAACGTGGAGGAATTGGTGAATATGTTACTAATAAATTATTAGTGAGTGCCTGTGTCAAAATTCAACAAGTCTACTTCTGCAGGCCGCAAAATAAAATTCGTGCTTAATTTATTGGAGAAATTATTGGATTCTTTGCAACAACTAGGGGCTAGGGTCTACGAGATTGTTCTAGAAGATTGGCGTTTTTCCTAATCAGTTGATGCAATATGTATGTATAATATTGAAAAATAACATCCTGATGAATACGGTTGAAATTTGAGTGG